AATAAAGTAAGAAACCCCCTAGGGCCATATTAAAACTATATCAGTGATTTTAAAAACTATGTATTTAATTTTCTTTCTGTTGAAACAAATTATTGTTGATTAAAATGGAAATTTCAGAAGAATCGACAATAATTTAACACACATGAAGTATGAAAGTTCCTTTAATTATAACATTACGCACAGGGAACTGTTGACCTTTTTCTTTTTTTTCTTTTTTTAGGATCTAAATTTTCAGCTTATACTTTTCTACTTTTTATTTCCATTTGCAAATCAGCTCAATACTTTTTCTGCTATCATTTTCTGGGGTGGGCTGTAATTCTCACTGAAATTGTAGTTTTTTTAATGTAGTGTAGGACCTACAAACACTTGTCTTTTTCTTCTACCCGCAACCCCCCGTGTAAGGCTTTGCGACCCCCAGGGGGTTCGCAACCCACAGGTTAAAAAAACACTGCTATAATGGAATAATATAATTAGTGCCTCTAGTAAGGGATTATCCTCTTTGCCAGCTACATATCCTTGGGACTTCAGTTCCTCAATTCATACTTCCATAACGGTTAGAAAATCTTCTGCCTTCAAACTGTTCCTGGTGAGCAGAACTCTCGTGTGTATGTACCTCTCTACAAGGACGATTATCACTTTTATCAACAACTCTCTTTTTACTCCAGGTAATTACAACAATGCACAATTTCATGTGAACTCTCTCTTTCTTGTGAAAGCAATGTGTTTATCTCTGTTTTGTCCTGCTATATTGGAACATGTAATTTCGTTGACAAATAAACAGGTATTAGTTAGTTAATCTAGTAGCCGAATGACTCACTTGCCATCTAGCTGTCTCACAGACCTCCATCCGGAATCCAATCGCTTACCCACGTGAGACCAAAGTCTAACAAAAGAAAAAACAAATTGCTGTCACGGCTTATGTGTTGATAGAGACACAGTGGTGTCATCCTGACGTGACATCAAAGAGGTGCCGAGCCTCTGGTCACACTACAGTTGCCATTTTGGAGATTTTAGCTCCAGATTTACTAGTTTCTTCTTGTCTAGAGGTGAATTTGGAGGCAAGTTGTATTTAGAGGTTTGTTTCTAAAGATAATTATTTCTGAATGTTATATAAAAAAATTTTTTAGTTGTAAATTAATAAAATTCAAAACTGTAAGTAAAAGTTCATTTTAACCAACTGCCATTGGTTAAAAAGAAAAACAGTATACAGGAGACTGTAATCAAGGTTGTAGCTTTAGGGAATTTAGATATGTTAGATATGTAAAATTGGCAACTGTGACATTAAAATGCTAATAGAAAATGACATGTTAATTATTTAAATGAAATGTTTAATGTTTTAAATGATACAGTAGTTGTAGTTATTGCTATTATTTAGGTTGGTAATAAGTTTACAATTTTTGAAATTCATAACAATCGAGAAGCTTTTTAGAGATATTTTCTATCATATTTGGAGGTTTTTGGAGGTAATTTGTTCCATATTTGAAAACAAGGTTTTACACAGCATGGCAGCAGCAGTCCAATCTGTGTTTTGATGCATTATTAACAGTTGATTCAATGCTATGAAATTTGTTCATGCGCTCAATTGTATCTATTACATCAATTGTATTCATATTTAATTACATTTTTATTGTGTTTAAATTTTATTTTACAGTATGAACTTCCAATAATTCAGCAATCATCTTAATCAGACACCATTCGAGTCCTATGTACATCAGAATACTGAGATTTTACTATGTTGATTTTATACAGTATATATAACATGTATACTATACAGAGTACATAAACTAATGTAAAAAATTTCTGTATTTATTATTATTGTAATTTTAGTGTTTGGATTTATAAAATAAAATTTAAAATTATAAACAATATATGTGATTCTTAATATATAAAAAATAATTTTTTCATAGTAACAAACTTCTAAATTATGTAAGTAACATATTTACTAGACTGTATATTATTTAAAAATTAATGAACATTCATACCTTGGAGGACCTGAAGTGCATAATACAGCCAAGCAGTTTCCACATATTGATCCTCTACTATATGGATTAACTTTATGTTGCCCATTTTTAGAAGTAAATGAACCCTTTATCTGAAAAATTATATTGTTTTATTAATTACATTCTAATTACTATCCATATATTAAGAAAACTTGTAAGTATTTACTTTAACAATATATTCTTCAGAGCAAGTATATGGAATCAGTAACACCAACTTATATGGGCTTGTGTTCACCCAATTNAAACCTAGGTGTAAGGATAAAAGAGCACAGATATGATATTAGAAAAGGTTCTAATGCCACAGTATTGGCTCAAATGGCACAAACGGAAGGTTCAATAGTACGATGGGATGAAGCGGATATCCTGAAACAGATACACTCTCCGACTTTGGCAAGAACGGCTGAAAAGTTAGAAATTTATAGAAGTGTACTTAAAGGGAATTGCATCAACGCAAGAGATGCGGAGGGACTTCCTTCCGCCTGGAAGTTTGCAATTAAAAACTTAAAATAAGAGCAGGAACTTTAATAATATTTGTGGTAAAAACTCTGTATAGTTAAGTAGAAAAACTCTGTATAGTTAAGTAAGCAATATTAATATTTAGTATTAACAGTTTGTTTGTTATATTTGACTATTTTATTTTATTTTTAGTATTAGCAGCATTTGTATTAATTTTATTATTTACAAACATTAGTTGGCTATTAATAGCGTATATGTTATCGGTTATTAATATTTATATTTTGTATTTTGAACTTCTTGTTCTATTTTTGAAGTGTTCCAATTAACCTGAGGATGATCCATTGACTGGATTGAAAAAACGTTTGTTTTAAGAATAAATCTCTCAGCTAGTGATCAGGTCTTGATTTAGTTGTTTAGCTGGATATTATTTTGTCAGTATGAGTATGTTGTGAACTTGTGATGTATGCATATTTTTTTAAAATTTTATTTTATTTA